GCAGTGGCAGCAGCCATGAAAGACTCCACATACTTTCTCGAATACAGCTGAAGCACCTGTGCTTTTGACTTCGTATGGGACTCAACCGTTTTAATTACCATTCTCCCAAGTTCAAACATTTTGGCTTTTCAATATCATTGTGGGACAGCTAAGCATTCCCAGTACTTAGAGCCATCTCCCAATCTTGATAGCCGCTTCTTTTCCCTTCACAGAAAAAAACAAACATACAGCATGCAAGTGCACAAAGATTTGCAATAAGTCAAAGTTTAAGCATTATAACACAATTTAAGACATCTCATGAATAAAACAAGACATTTTGACCATAATGTTTTAAATCAAATTTAAGATTTTTTTTTTTTTTTTTTTTTTTAAAGGCTCAGTGGGAACCCTGATGAAGTTCCACCAAACCTGTGGCTTTCTGATTCAACAGGCACACCACCCAGTCTTATGCAACCTCTTGTCATCTCTTACCATGGCAACCACTGGACCAGAGCTCACATATGTGATTAGATCATGAAAGAATGGCCTGTCCTTCAGGTCGATGTAGTGCTGCTGCAGGAGGGCGTCAGTGGCCTGTTAGGGGACAAGGTAGACAGATTTCAGTTTTCTCTCACACACACACCTTTTGTGCTGGACTGTCATCAATAAGTCTAACTCAACTACGAATTCATAACAAATTATAGCAAAACCAGCCAGTCTCATTAATAGGCACAATGCTGACCAGCGAGTTCCCAGTGTACAAGCACTTATTTTAAGTGTGGGTCTACTACCTTAACATTTAGTCTTTACTCGTTTTAGAAGCCAAAATTCAGTTGACAGGAAAACACTTTAGTAAACAGAGTTAGATGCTGTTGTGTTTAACACAATGACAAGGCACTGAACAGTAGAGATGTTTGAACGGTAGTCCATGATATCTTTAAATCGTTTTAATGATGCGAGCATTACTTACTATCCTTTACAATACATCACGTGTCAAACTCGAGGCCCGCGGGCCACATCCTGCACAGCATACAATTACATCCGGCCTGCGAGATCATTTTATACATCTTTTATGGCCCGGCAATATGAAGCGCCAGTAATACACCAACTACAAATCCCATAATGCAGCGCAACAGCTGCCTTACCGAACGATAGGCTACCTGAGACCATTCCCGTGTCCATTACATCAGATCAATTAAGCGTCTGTTTATGTATACAACCCTAATTTCAAATCAAAGCTAGCCCCCCCAACAATGGCCAAGAGAAAAGTTGATTCTGAAAACACGTTTACTGACATTGCCAGTAAACCCGTGTGTCTTATTTGTGGAGCTAATGTGGCTGTAATAAAGGAATATAACCCAAGACTGCACTACAAAACAAAACATCAGTCTTGTGTCCAGATAAAAGCAGGTGTTTGCAAATGTAAGCCTTAGCAGAAATACGGTTGCTGATTTTAAGTTCAAGTTTATTCATTTTGGAATAATATTGTATCCTGTCTGTTTTGATTCATATTTATGTTCAAAAAGTGTTTTAGCCTGTTCAATAAATTTTTATCCTGTTCAGCCCGTGACCTAAAGTGTGCTTTGAGTTTTGGCCCCCTGTGCGACTGAATTTGACACCCCTGCAATACATTGCACATGACACTACATGGCATCAAGATTTAACACTTTAAATACGTGGCCATCAGAGTTGATACTGGGGCAGCCTGCCACAAATAAACACCGAGTATGGGAGTATGTGCGTCCTAATTAAGCTCTTTTCCACAAATTGAACAACAGTGGCATCTTCTATACTAATTTAACCTCACACGCCTTCATGCTGGCTGCTGCTCTGGTTCCATTGTATCACGAGACACCTTCCCACCTCTGATAAATATCTTCACGTTTTAATATCATGAGATGTCATCACACCCCTAGTAGGAATGGAACAATATGACTCAATACAACCAAAAATGTAATGACAGTGCAAGACTAGCTGTGGAATACTTTATTCCTCTGATTAACTCCCACATTGAAGGGGCAGCGTTAAAGGGGCCCAATTCAAATCCTTCATCCTGAATGGGAATATGAACTTGTGCATTCAGTGTAATCAACTTTATACTTACATTGAGCATCTTCATGCCCACAAGTTTGAAGCCTTTCATCTCAAACCTCTTAATGATGTCTCCAATGAGGCCCCGCTGCACGCCATCAGGCTTGACAGCAATGAAGGTGCGTTCCTGCAGCTCAGCCATGATTCTGAAAACAAAGAACAGACAAATGAAGACAAACTAGCACAACCTTTGAGGAGCAAGCCCAAGAGTTGCTCACACCACTTTCAAGGCTAGTGCAGCTCTCAGTGCGAGCACCTAAACTAGGCTAGTGAGAGACTGTCAGCACCACCAGAGTAAGTCCACTAACAATGTCGGACTCTCGTTTTCTCTAGACCTCTGCCCAATGATGTTTAGCTGGATGTCACTCAACCGCTGGTTGTCTAGCTGGTGCCCAGAAAACAATGTGGGCTTTCATAAACAATTGGAAAACACTTTGGAGAAAACCTGGTCTGATTAGCAGAGACAGCATCCATCACACTTTGGATGGTGTGGCCCTCATATCTAGAAATTTGGAGTTTCTTTCACAACCTAAATTAGTGCATTTTTATACCGTAATTCTTACGCAAATATTTTCAGACTAGGTGCTTTTTACTCTTTACCTGACTCCAAGCTGCACAAGAATTCCTATATGCCTAGACTATATGGCAAATAAAAATCTTGAGTCAGAGTATGCCTGAGCGTAGCAGATCATAGTGAAGCAGGGAGAGGGCGTGCTAGGAGTGGAACGATTTGGAATTTCGTGTTACTGTTACTTTAAATTACACACTGTAGCTAAATTTAAGCTAAATTTGCAAAGACAAAACATCCAACAGTTACATTAACTTGTCATGACAAATGTACCGAGTTGTTACCTTTAACGTATAGGCACCAACAGTGGGTAAATCCAGCTGTTAAATTCGCAGGTTTTGAAGGTTTGTCGGAGCGGTGGTCAGCCCGACTTGGAACAACTGCAGCAGCACACCTGTATCTGGTGGCTGTGTACGGTTAATGCCCAAAACAGAGCAGCTTTATCGGCTTCCTGAAAAGCGTTCGAAGTGCAAGAGAACGAAAGCGGACTTTGACAGTTGACGTTGGGTCTAATGGCTGCACTTGACAGCCGGTTTTCATTCTGCGTTCATGCCACGTCGGCACAAAGGCGACGATGGGAATAGTTTTCAGTGAAACGATTCGGGAACGTTCACGCTGTAGTCCAAGATGGTGGCTGTCTGATGTCATTTGCTGTGACTAATACTACTTAGTGTCAATTAACTGCAACATTATGCACAACTGTCACATTATCTAGGGTCACGCTACAGCTTTTTGCAGCCACTGCTTTGAACAACGAAATAGCATTTTTAAGTTAGGCTACTTTGGTGGAGTACCCGGAGATGTGAAGCGACGCCCTGGCCTTTACTGGCAGGCACATGGTCTTTTGTTGGCGGTGCCACAGGAAGTCCACTGCAACACGCAGCGACACAGGAAACAATACGCTTTATATTCTCTAGGCTATAGCCTATTAACAAACACCTGAAATGAATTTGACAGCTAGCAGTTTAACCTTAACCAAGCCAAGTTAATATTCTTACATTACGCCTAGCGCTACTACAAAACTAATTCTATCCTCACCTCCGCAAAAGTACTGAACGCTGAATTCAAAATTCAACCATGTAAACAACTGGGAGAAGTAGAGTACATATATTCATTTAAACACTGCTGTTATATCCACATAGGAGGGGGGGGGGGAAACACTTACCTTCTCAAAGAAGCGTAGGGGTAGACACACGACACTCAGGAGGGAGAGAGCGTGCGCAGCCGGCTTTTATTTGTGTAGGCGGGAGTTGGCGGACGGGAAGCCTACGGTCCCAAAAGTAAAGAACGAATTGCAGTAATTATGAGATACATGCGTATGGTTTGGATTTATGGAGAAAAGAAAAGGAAAAGGAAGTTGACAAAGAAATGAGGCACCCTTTCATTGTTAGTCTGCATTCATAGTCTCTCCCCCTGCTCCCTCGTTCCTGATAACGCAAGCTCATGGTTTGGAGTTGACAGTTGACGTTCTTTATTTGATGCTTAAATGTGTTCAGAATTGTTCTCTAAATTCTAACAATTTTCTATAAATGCAGGAGTAATTATTTGACATTAAAAACAAGTTCACTCAAGTTGTTATGATTCTAAAATAGAGTCACTACTCCCTCTTATGGACATTTTAGACATAACAATGTACATCCAGAATCAGTTATAAAATGTTACAGAGTTTAAAAACTATCTTGTGAAGTACTATAAAGGTTTCCTCCTTGCTATTATAATTTTCATGCTCTTGTATAATTTTCACCGGTTTGTGTGTGCGTGGCAAGCTTTATTTTACTTTGTCTTTATGTTCAGTTATGTGAGTATTCCAAATATAGTTAAACAAAAGGTTATCTTTTTATAATGTAAAAGATTAACATGATTATTCATCCAAGTTTTTATTTTGAAAAAAAAAATCAACGGGGCAATAATATCTGGATATCATGGCAACAGCCACTGAACAGGTGTATTACAGTGCTACAGTGTGTTACAGGTATAGTTGTTTTTGGCGGCCTGTTTTCATTTTAGTTTTAGTCTAGTCTTTGTGTGAAGCTGTCATTTTAGTTTTTATTAGTTTTAGTCACATTCATACTCTTTTTAGTCTAGTCTAGTTTTAGTCGACGAAAACTGATGACATTTTAGTCTAGTTTTAGTCAATGAAAATTGTATTTTAGTCTCTTTTTAGTAAGGCAATTCTATTTAACCCAGTCAATAGAGTATAAGTACCTTGTAGTATAGATGAAACCAAGTTTCTTTTAGTCAAACCCATTTCAAACAAGGTTATCTTATTATATTATTGTTACCTTATAGACTCAAGAGTACATCCAATAAACATTTTGTGGCCACATTTCTCCCCATCTTTTTCCACAACAAATTCCGTTTTCTTTTCCACTTCTATGTAATTAAAGTTTTTCCAAATGTCGTTTCTTCTTTAAAGCTTGACAATTTAATCAGCTTGACAATGATAGGCAAAATCATAATTAGTGGAAATTACTTAAAAAAGTAAAAATGACACATTTAGTTTTCTCACCTTACACATTAGTGTAAAAATCAAATTCAGATTTCAGTTTATTGAACTTAAAGTAGTGACATCCTGCCCAAAATGAGTACCAAAATGGCATTGCCCACCTAATCATCAGAAACCCATCTTAAGGTGCACATCTTCTCTCACATCAGTGCAAAAACATTTGTTTGGAAAATGTTTAGCATTGCAGTTGCAGGTGAACAAAGTCCAAGAGAGTCTCTTCTCCCTGTAATTATTATACAAAGCCTCTCTTTGACCCAAATTTGGTTGCAGAAAGAACTCTTTAAGTGAGACACACCACACCATATAAACAGATGTGTGCACACATGAATACAGTTATGGCTGACAAATTTGACTCATCTTAGATTCTTTCTCACAAACAAAATTGCTTCCCCCCCCAGTCTTAACCATTTCAAACTTTAAAATCTATCCTTAGACCCCAAACCCCCCCCCCCCTAAGGCCCAACCCAGACCCTGTGGAACTTAAACG